GCGCCCCACTCCTTCCTCTCTGATTTGGTCTCTTCCATGCTGCGCAGAAACTCTACATTTGATTCGATGTGCGCTTCCTCCTGCTCCGGCTCCGTGGGCGCCGCAGGAGATGGCACTCTATCCGGGAACTTTGGAGACATCAAGCCCGGAGAGGGTAATGGCTTTGAGGATCCTTCCTTCTCGCGAAGAAAATCCAGGTTCGACTCCAGGTGTGTGCTCACCGGACGCTGGCGGCCGTCAATGGATCTTCTTTGGGCGCTTGAGTCAAGGAGATCCAGGCTTGGGCGTCCGCCCTCAAGGGACGGACGAGATGATGATGGATGCCGCACGTGGTTCGGCCGAAATTGGTATGAAGGGACCCGTGGAATAGACCCAGGAACTGGATCGTCCGCTGCTGAACGGCTAGGAAGGCTCGATTCGGACTGACGAGGAAGGCTTGTTGACCGACTGGGGTCTGTCGTAGGTACTCGCCATATAGGTCCTGGCTCACGGGCTTGCTGCTGCTCCGGAGGCGGCGTATTTGTCATTGTGCCAGTCGACACGTATCTCGATGGCGGTGCCTGATACGGGTTTTGGGCATGAGCGTGGGCCTGGGAGTGAGACGAAATAGCTTGCAGCTCAGGGTTCTTGTTGATAATTGCATGCGCTCTGCTCATCTCGGCTTGCTGTGTAGGAGCCGAGGCAGTTTTTGTCAAGCCCACGGCTCCCGGTGGAGGAGACTTCACCGTCGGAGGTGTGTAAGAAGAAGCTCCCGTTGGCGCGACTGTCCTCGGACGAACTGGCTCCTGGTTCTTCGGGGGCGAGTGCGCAGCTGGAAACGCCGCGTCTACGGGCTTCTCAGCGGGTCGCTGGGCCTGGCTTCGCTGCTGCTGCTGCGTTGCAGGGGGGGTGTGGGAGTCAAAGTTGAATTTGGATCCAGACTCATGGAGCAGAGAAAACTGATCCAAAGATGGGAACCGAGATGAAAATTCATCGACATCTGCCACAGGAGTAGCAGCAGCAGCCGCCGCCGTTGCCGCAGCTGGTGTGTCTAGAGCAGCGAATGGGTCTCCATTGGTGACGCGCATGGGAGACGGGCTTGGCTTTGCCGCTTGCTGGGCCTGCGCCTGAGGCTGTTGGCTGGACGCCGGAAGTCTGCCTCTCCTCATGGGCACAATGTCCGGGAGAACTTGCTCCTCTTGCTTCGCCGGGGCAAACACGGCGCCGACTACTGGCTTGGCCCCCGCAGGCTCAGTTGCGGCAGGTCTGCTTTGTGGCTCCGAACGTTGCTTTCCGGTGTAGATCTATGCCATCCTCAGTGAGCTACTCGTTGGAGGGTTTCATGGAATAACCTACGTCGTGTATAGGGACGTCGCGACCCTGCATGGCGCAGCCTTCGCGCAGAACCTGATAGATGTTTGGTCTAGCTGCGGGGCTCTCACGCAGCATGGAAGCTGTCTCTTGTTAAGCGTGGTTTTCGGCCCAGGTCTTGGGGACTTACCAATCAACTTCTTGAGGCGATCCGAAAAGACTGGATAACTAGGGAATCTATAACTTGCGTTGAGGATAGCCAGCTGCCCCTGGTCCTCGAACGGGGTAGTGTAGTAGCACAACTTGTACAACAGCACACCCAAGGCCCAAATGTCAGATTTTTCGTCGATGGGAAGTTTGCGGTAGACATCAATCATCTCGGGACTCCTGTATTGCATGGTGGTGTGTTTTTGTACGTCCTCGTCCATGAGCCTGCATTCGACGACGGTTTGCGGCGCGGGTTTCGGCGGAGCAGCAGATCCAAAATCGCAGACCTTGAACTTTTTCTGGGAGCCATGGCTGACGATGAGCACGTTTTCGACCTTCAAGTCACGGTGAAGGAGAGGTGGCTTGAGGTAGTGCATGCAGGCGACGCCCTCGGCGATGTCTGTGAAGATGTGGAGGATCTCGGGCTCGGTCAAGCGATGCTGAAGACGTGTGTTCATGAAATCGATCAAACCGCCCCCATCGCAGAATTCCATGAGGAGGAAGACTTCATAACCGCCGCCACGCATCTCAGAGGCGTGAGAATCGATGTATGTAACGATTGGGCGATGACCCTTGAGCCTCTTCATGGTTTCGACCTCGGTTCGCATGCTCCGCAGCGCCTCCTTATCGGGGACAGCCACTCTCTTCAGGACAGCCATGTCTGTGCCGTCGATGGGCTTCGGGAGCTTGACCAGATATACGTGGGCAAACCCTCCCTCGGAGAGATATTTCTGAATCACCACCCTGTGGTTTCCAACTTGTATCTTCGTTCCGGGAGCGAAAGTGCCCGCAGGGGCGGTAGGCACGGGGGCAGGCATTGGGGCGCCATAGGTGGCAGGATGGGCAGCTCGAGGTGCCGCTGCGGGCATGTGATGGCCATAGGATGCCATATCGACGGGATGGACTTGCGGTAGTGGTCGTCGGCTAGGAGAAGAGGTTGTCGCCGCCCGACGTAGTCAAGACAGGGTAGGTGTAGGGTTGGCAGGCGGTCGAGTACGGTGAGGGTGATGGAGCTAGTGGATTCGATGAGAGGAGCGACGGTGACATTGACTCGTAGATGCGACCCGGTCGAGGCACAGTTAAGCCATTCTTGGGCATCGATGGCGGATGTGGGCGTCTTTGATGATTTGATTCTAGGTTGCCATCAAGCTGGCCCTAAAGTCGGACATGTGTAGTAAGAGTTGTAGATAGTAGGCAGCACGCGGTGCATAAGGTAGGTCAGGTAGGTACGGAGAGTCCAGTCCATCAGCCGCTGTTAGTGGTGGAGCGCTGGCATAAGGCTTTGGGAAGCTAACCCAAGACCCTGGCACACCCTGTTCACAGTTGCATGTTTCGCAATGCATCAGTCGGGGAAGTGTCGGATAAATGCCATGCACCACCGTTCAAGTCATTGGTTGGGCTGCAGCTGCTTGACAGTCCTCACCAGACGGCACCACCTGAGTGCTCATGCACCAACCGGGCAAAGGTGGGCTTTTCTCATCTCAACAACACTACTGAAAACGGTCAGCCGAGATCCAGATTCCGCTGGTGGGGGGAAGATCGTTGTCAGTTTAGCTTATCGATACGCGATAGCGATAAGACCTTGCGCCCAAGCCGAATTTTTTTTCTTATGATTTCTCTCGAGAGGCTCGAGCTGCCTGCTGCATGTGAGAAGCGTCGCAACCTTTTTTCCCCTTTTAATCTGATCTAACGACAGCCCCAAGAACCTTCCAAATTCTTAAACGGACGACCGCGAAAGACAACAGAAATGGCTGGCAAAAGAAAGAGAGTCGAAATAGCGAGCGCGCCTCCTACGAAGGGCGCTGCGCCTGCGAAGAAAGCCAAGCCAACCACGAACGGCTCTGCTTCGAAAGAGGACGATTCGGCCGAGGAGTTGACAATCCAGATTGTCGCCGGCTCGTACGATCGCGTTCTGCACGGTATCACCGCTACTATCAAGCCTGAGGGGACGGTCGGATTTGCCGACACATTCCTCTTCAGCGCACATACATCTGCAATCCGCGCCGTTGCGTTGTCGCCTATTTCAGCTCCCATTCCCGGCCAGAGCCAGAAGGTCCTGCTGGCATCAGGAAGCACCGACGAACGAGTCAATCTGTACAACCTATCTGCGCATCCCCCGAGCCGGAAAAGACAGGAGCTTCTCTCCTCCGTTGCTCCCCGCCCTATCCTCGAAAACCCCAAGAATCGCGAATTGGGCACGTTATTGCATCACACATCGAGCATCACCAAGCTGGTGTTTCCTACGAGGTCTAAGCTACTTTCTTCAAGTGAGGACTCGACAATCGCCATCACAAGGACAAGAGATTGGTCTGTTTTGTCGACCGTTAAGGCGCCCAAGCCCAAGGTGATGGGCAGGCCCAGTGGTGACACTGCTCCTTTCGGCGGAACGCCTTCTGGCATCAACGATTTCGCCATCCATCCCAGTATGAAGTTGATGATCAGTGTCAGTAAGGGCGAGAAGAAGATGCGGTTGTGGAACCTGGTAACTGGCAAGAAATCATCTGTCTTGGAGTTCAGTCGAGAGCACTTGCAACAGCTCGGAGAAGGAAGGCATTCGACTGGTGAGGCTCGCAAGGTGGTCTGGGGTTCGGCGGACGATGAGCAAGAGTTTGCGGTCGGCTTCGATCGTGATATCGCCGTATTTGGCATGAATTGCGAAATCAAGTGCCGCGTCATGCCGGAGCCCCGAACCAAGATCCACGAAGTTTTCTATGTTCCTGTTGAGGGCGAGAAGGAAGAGAGCTTCTTGGCTGTATCGACTGAGGATGGCCGCGTCCTGTTCTTCTCTACCAAGGAGAGTGACCTGAACAAGGCCGACGAGGAGGGGAAGCTATCTACAGCCAAGCTGATTGGCCAAGTCGGCGGTAAGGAGGCAGGTGTCTCGGGCCGCATCAAGACGATGGCCGTATTGGAGACGAAGGAAAAGGACTCGACAGCTTTGATTGTAATTGGAGCCAGCAGCGACGGCAAGGTACGAATTTGGAAGGTCGGCGTGAAGGAGCTTGTTGCAGGAAAAGGCAAGCAAGTAGGCAGAACATTGGGAACCTACGACACACAAAACCGCATCACGTGCATGGCAGCGTTTACGATGATACCCCGGCCGGAGGGAGTGGAGGAGAGCGAAGACGAAGCCGAGGAGGACTCTGAGGATTCCGAGGACGAGGAAGACGAGTAGTTGCACGTAGCTATGTGATTTGGATGAGAATAATATATCAATTCAAGACTTGCGTCAATCTGTCTTTTCGAACTTGAGTGCACGACTGGCCTAGCCGGCACGACGCGATGAGGTGGCGGAGAGAAGAATGGGTCCGAACGACCGTCGGCCGGCACGACGTCAGAAGATTGGCTCGTGCGGGAGTCCCGCTGATCGGCGTTGAGAGTGTCTCGCATCAGTCTGCAGGTGGCATGCTCTTCCCAGCTGTGTTTCTGGCGCACGAGTGCTTGCAGTTGAACGCTGGAATGCCTTGGAGAGTCCGCGGACATGGAGCTGCCAGTGCGGCGTTTTAATGCACACTGGTTTGCACAGTTACCCACCCCCAAAGGCTCTGGGGGATTCGATGCTGACCCCGATGTTGAAGACTACAGTTAAGAGAGATGCGCGCTCGCCAGGGCTGACGAGGGAAGAGAAACGAGCAGTTTAGGGCAAACGCAGGCTTGGCAAGATAGCGCATGCCACACATGCGTATGTAGGCCACAGACGGGGTAGCACGTTTGTCTCTGGTTGAGACGAAGAGGCGCCGTCTAGTGTGCAATTCAACTGTGGGAGGTTCACGTGCAGGGCAGTCTGTGCGGGCGGGTTTTACGATGTGCGTAATGCATAGAGGAGGAGACACTGACATTCCTGAGATGCCTTTGCCCCGGGCCGTTGAATGAGGGAGCGCGACGAGGCAATGACTACCTCTGCACTAGAACCCGGCGGGGAGCAGGGCTGCCGCCAGTTCCCGCTCGTCCTTCGTTTGTTTCTGGGCGTTGGCTGCAGATCTGAGATGAGTATTATTAGAGTCCCGTTCGAAGGGTCTTTTCTCCTCTAGTGGTGAGGTTTTTTTTCTCTTCTTCAAAAAGGTATGATGCTTGCCGTCCCCGTTTATTTTCTCAACGCTCGCAGGGGCCTTGCGCATTGAGGGGCTAAATACGCGGACAGCTCACATTCAGGAACCGACGGGGACGGGCAAACTAATTGGCTGACTGGTTCCGTCTCAACCTCTCTCTCCCGTCTGACCCGAGACTTGTTCGGACGTGCGTATTCGCAGATTTATCTGTCGATAACCTTGAGGCATGGACCTTGAGTATGAGGCAAGGGATAATTCGTCGCCGTCACAGTCATAGTCATGGGGACAAGGGACTGATGGTTTATGGTCAGCTTTGCAAATTTAGGTAGGTAGTTATTGTGAAGGGGAAAGAAAACACACCAAGGAACCCGGCTGGTTGCTCAAGGGAACGGAGGGGACGGACGCTGGAGGGGGGGAGCGGGCTAGCAGAGTGTGGGGTAGCGGCGAATCAGGTGGCCAAGAATGTCATTTCAGGACCCAATCTGGCGTGCACCAGTCATGTGGCTCCACCGGAGACAATCCCATTGCTTGCAGCTGCGCCTTGGCGCCAGTCCCCTAGCTCCAGCCTCCAGCCTCCAACCTCCAACCAGCAGCTAAGGGGGGAATCTTTGCCTGTTCAGTCTTTTCGTCCAAGGGAACTTGCAGAGGGGAGGATTCGTTGAGCCTGGTCGAGTCCTTTGGTGTCTCGCTGCAGCTGCAGGTATGTCTGTCTTCGGGCTTGTTATGTTGTGTTGTGTTAACTGCAGTAAACCTATGGATGCAATGGAACTGAGCTGCTGTGGGTGCCGTACCATCAAATGGAACTGACGAGTTGCAGGGTAGGCACCTTATAGTGGGCCTACATAGTAGAGCTGGAACACTATTCGTGCAAACCTACAAAGCCAGACATGTGAATATTTCTCTTTTCCTCGCCCGTCCCTCCCGCTCTCTCTTTCCAAATTCCATCCTCCAGTCGAGTCGAGTCCAGGCCATCCTCGAAGAACCCCTCCTTTCTGGTTATTCCCGTCCCCCTTCTTCCTGCACAGTTACGGCATCGTGTTGCTGCAAACAACGCGCCTCCGCTCCGGAATACATTACCTGCTGCTGCCGGGAACACCCAAGCCACACAGCGCGGAGACCACACCACCACCACGCCGAAATCCCCCCGTCTCTCTTTCGCGTCGCCCGCATCTGTTTTACCGGCTTGTCTCCCCTCTCCGTCCGAGAAACGTGCCATAAGCGATTGCACATAGCACGAAGCACGCACGCAGAAAAGTGGCAGTCGTAGCAACCTGATACTGCGGTGGCTGCCGCGGGATACGGGTCCCGACGCCGATAGCTCGTAGTCTCCGCGAACTGACCTCTAAGAGATCATGCCGTTGCCGCCTCCTTCATTCCCGTCACCCTAGCATTAACTCGCCCGCACTGCTGTCAGCAAGACGCATCAGCATACCTACAGCATCGCTCCCCTCTGAATTGCATATCTTATTCTGCCTTCTTTAAGATCTTCCGTCGTGTCCGCATTCGCAACGTCTCTCCTCGCCAACGCACCACTATCTCGCAGAGGACGCCCTGCATCAGCTCCTCCGAGCTACCGCTGCCGCCACTCCTCCCTCGTCGCGTGCCGCTGAGTCGACCCTCGACTGCCCAGCGAAACTCCGTCCTCGAATTGCAGTCTCACATACTTTCAACGGACTTCTCGTCAATAACCAGTCCTCCTCCGTTCGTCCAATCCTTCGCCATCCTACATCGTATCTTGGTTTGAGGAGAATCGTATCTGAGCCACGTGAGACGAGACAATCTTCTCCTCGTCCGAAGTAGTTCGGTGACGACAGCAAAATCCTCCCGGTCCTTGGTCAGCAGAGTTAGACTTACTCGTACATTTCATTTTTGCCGGTAACTACAAGGCGCACCATCATCCCTCCCGTGAGCACATCATAAAGCCCCAGCGCCCACCTCGGTGAGAGTCGTATCGACGTCCTGCTAATAGCCTCAGTCGCAGAGCACCTCTCAATCGAACGTCATGTCTGACGACGGACCCCCTTTGTTGCGGCCCATCCCCCGCCGCCCCTTCGACTTCAACTACACAAGCCCTACTCCCCCAGAAGACGCCTCGTCCTCCCCAGGCCCGAATCCCGAGCTTGACTTCTCGAGATTGCACAATGGCCAAGCTTCGTCGGATTCTGGCTCCTTGCCCCGCGCGCAGTCCATCATGAACTTGACGTCCTCCACGTTATTCGGCATATACTCTCCGACGACCTATGGGAGCCGCGACGGCAACGAGAGGGACGAGCCAGACACACCATGGGGAACAGGGGCACAAACCCCCATCAAGCGCCCTAGCGTGGACGACACGACATTCGAGCTCATGAAGGATCGCTCGACTCTGCTGCGCCGACGCTCCTCATATCGTGGTACCAAGCAGCCACCGCCCTCAACCGCAGCCTCCACGCTGTTCACAACCTTCAGAATAGCCCTTCTGTTCATCATTGGCATGGGATACGGTGTTATGGTTACTAGGTTGCAGAACGAACATCGATTCTCGTCATTCCAGGTCGAAAGCATCATAAAACCAAGTTATAACTGGCAATACCTTTCATTATGGGGTCTGTCGGGCGTCGTCCTCGGCGGCCTGCTCCCTTGGTTCGATGGTGTGTGGGAGGAAACTTTCGGAAAGGAAGAGGAGATAGCAGAAGAGAGGGAAAGCCCGTCTCCTGAAGACGCCAGCCCTGTCAAGGACTGGGCGTTAGTTGTTCGGAGTATCGGAGCCTTTGTTGGTATTGTTTTTGCCATTGTGAGTCACTCTGTCTGCACCATTGGGTACTTGAAAACTGACAACCAACAGCGTAAACTCCCATGGGCCTCCACCCTCCAGGTATCCCTAAGTTTGGCTCTCGTCAACCCATTTCTATGGTATTTGATTGACCGGTCAAAACCCGGCTTTTTGCTGTCCATGGCAGTTGGGGTGACGGGATCGGCGGTGCTCTTGGGCATCAACCCCAACGTGATGCCTACCCCTTCATCCCTCACCTGCCGGAACGAGTCTGAGAGGGCTTACGCGGAGCCCATGACGCTGGGCGGTCTGGCAAGCCAGGAGACCATCGAGACGGGGATTTGGATGTTGAGTGTCTTGTTCTGCAGTTGCGTCTGTTTTGGAAACATTGGCAGGCGGTTAGCTATCAACAAGTCAGCCACCGCACGGGGTCGCTGGGCTGGAGTTAGATGAGGGCCGAGAGATCACATTTATTTGCTTCGGGACTCTACGTAATTACGGCTGGCTGGTGGTCTTCTTGTATGGATTGGCGTCGTCGAGGATGCGGAACGGTGGACATATCAGGTACGAGTTTTGAATATCGACTACGAGTAGTAGAGTGGCTTTCAGTAAACATGCCACTTGTGAGAGAGGCGCAGCATCCATCACATAACCGACGCGTGGACACTCATGCCCTGGTTATGCGGGCAAACCGCAATGTTTCGTCACGCGAGCCTAATCTGGGCAACTCTGGTCAGCACATCACCAGGTAACGACGCGACAGAATCAATTACTACATCCTCCTCTTCGCCGTGTTTTCCCTCCTTTCTCCATATCCTTTCTCCATATTCCTTGCTAGGCATCTCTTTGACGCTCGCTCTAGCTGTGTCAGTCTTGCGCAATGCCCAGTGCCTACCATTCTATACTGATCCCTCATCGTATTTTGCTTCCTCCTTTTGCTAATGTCTATTTTCATGGAGCCTCGGATTTGCTGGCTACCTGGCCTGATTGACGACTTCAATAACGGCCTGGGATTTGGAGGTGACATCGCTGCCGTAATCGACCTGAGGAAGACCCATCATGGTCAGGAGACGCGGGGTGCTGACCAACTCATTGACGGTGACGGCTCGGCCGCAGACATCGGCAAAGGATTCGGCGGCAGCGGCGGGGCCGGTTGACAGACCTGGGATCCCCATGTTAGTGGGCAAAATTGCTCTCTCGGCATGGCCCGCGCGGGCGCGGTCAGCAGGCAGGGCGGCGCGGATGCGGGTGCGGGTGCGGGTGCGGGTGCCTGGTGGATTGATGCACTGCCTGCCGCCTTTTTTCTTCTCCTCTTTGTGTATGCTAGTGCCACGGGGCTGTTCTAACCAGATTGCTGCCGGATCTGCTCCGGGTATTGCACGGGCTCGCCATCCCGGATGTGGTCGAGTTCGGTCATGATATACCGAGACCTGCTGACAAAGTCCCAGACGTGAAAGAGCCCACGGTGGGGGTTCTCAGGGTTCCAGGCCGGGTGGGCCTCGATGGCGATGATGAGCTCGGAGAGCCGTTCGATGATGGTGGCCCGGACTTCGGGGGAGGGAAGTTCAGCTGACATTTCGAATCGGGAGTTTGGGTACGGTAGAAGAGTTGTTGAGGCAGAATTTAAGGGTGAAGACCAGGTGAACCAAAACCGTTGCCAAGCGATGCTGCAAGCAGACAGACAAACACTGAACGAAGGTAGCCAGGCGTTAAGGGAGTTGATGATGGGAACCGAAGACGAAGAGAGAGAAAGAAAAGAAGTGGAAGTTTGGAAGCTGATGCTGGCTGAATTAGCAGTCACAACCCAAGTTTCCTAATCTGTGACTTGTCGGTGAGGGTAAGCAAGGGTTTGGAACGCGTTGCCGCGTAGATGTGGCATGTTCCCATCGCACAGACTCAGCTAGACAACAAGCCACCGCCTTCGCTTTCAATTTTTAGGTTGCGTTTGCTGGGGGGGAACCGAGAATCCAGTGGGGTCGAAATGGCGGGATTGGGCTGAATGGAGGGGTTCGAGGGGTTGATGGGGTCGAAATGGCCGGTCCAGAATCGAAGATCTGGCCCGATTCTGGAAGCTCAGTTGCGAAGTCGATACGACGAATCTCGGATATGGTTGCACAGATAATAATGTTGTCGCAACGATAATCAGCCAACCATGCCAGCTTCCGTCAAACCCCCCCCCCCCCCCCCCCCCCCCCGGCCCCAGAGCAATAAGCCACACGATCTTCGTACATGCTGTGAATGCGACACAACTAGGTTGGAATATATCTCGAGCGAGGCAACGAGCCTAGTCCTGTCCTCGACGTCCTAACAGTATGCA